CATATTACTTGTACCACTCTGCTTAGATAGAACTTATTCCATCCCAGTTTGTGTATAAGCACTAGATCTGAGGGCACAGCAACTATCCCAAAAATATCAGGATGTAGCACAGTAATCACCTTTAATTCCCTATTAACTTAATCTGGATCCTTGTATAACTTATACTGTTATATCATGACCTTAGTTAAATCTGATTTGTTTGATTGCTATTTGTTATTGACAGATTTTATTCAAAACTGTTAAGGTTGATAGTATCAAGTCAGAGAGTATACACAACTATACTGAAAATGACAATGATTCACTACAATACCCATTCTGGTTTGATTACTACCTGTTTTTGTAGTTCTACACAATCTACAAAGTTGTATTTCTATTAATACTGTTATGTACTGATATATTCAATTATACTGTATCTGATGATAAGGCCAATTTTATTGATGATAACAAGAGACAACACAGTAATCATGGTAGAACTCCTTGTACAGCAGTTTTATATGTCTTTTTAGTTTTATGTGTCTATAGGAATATATTTTATTCTGTTCTGCTTTGTTCTGTTTCTCCCTCTAATATAGAAGGGATAGAAATACATGTTAAGACTCATGCTTGTGCTAAACCTGTAAACAGTTTACGAGAACTGATCTTATGACACATGATGCAATGAACAAATACTTTAGAGGAAAAAAAGGCACTACAATACCCAATGCTGATTCCAGAGTGTCATGATGTGAAATCCAGCAATATTATTATTATTTGTTAAGAGTGATTTTAGCCTGCTTTGGTTTATTTAATCTCAACATAAATAAGGATATGGTTAAATGTGTGTATGTTTAAGTATATAGGATTGATAACCATATTACTAAGTTTTTATTAGATAGTTGAACAGAACTATTTGTAGTCTCTCTGTTTGAATTCCCATTTATATGTTCCACTTTTGTATCTTGAACAATTATTTGTAAGAGGACAATATGTAAATATCAACTAGTGATTTATTAGTTTATTTTTCCTTTGAAAGTATGTACTATTTCTACTTGTTTTCTGTTTTGTTTTTCTTAAAATAAATTTTTTTAAAAAAAGGAAAGAAAAAACTCAAATTCATCCAATAAGGCATGAAAAGGGTGAAATGACAGCCTCTGTGGTAATACATAAGATCATCAATACCTACTTTGAAAACCTTTACTCTCATAGGTTCAATAACACAGAATACACAGATTCCTAGAAACACATGAATTACCAAAGCTGGATCAAGAAGATGTAAAACTTCTGAATAACCCAATTTCAATTAATGAAATTGAAAATGTAATTAGAATCTTACCAACAAAGAAAAGCCCACGTCCTGACAGATTCACTGCTGAATTCTACAAGAAATTCAAGGAAGACTTTCCTCAAACTCCTCAACTCCTGAACACTCCTCAAACTCTTCAATGAAATTGAAAGGGAAGCAATTCTCCCTAGCTTATTCCTGGAAACAAGTATTACCCTAATACCCAAACCAAAAAAAGACCCAACCAAAAAAGAGGACTACAGGTCAATCTTCCTAATGAACATAAATGCAAAAATATTCAATAAAATACTAGCAAATAGAATGCAGTAAGTCATCAAGAAGACTATATACTACAACTAACTGGGATTCATCCCAGGAATGCAGACATGGTTCAACATATGCAAATCAATAAACTTAATATACCATATAATAGAACCAAAAATAAGAATTACATGATCATCTCAATAGATGTTAAAAAAGCTTTTGTTAGTTAAAGTCTAACATTCATGATAAAAAACTGTTTGGAAAATCAGAATAGATGGTCTTTACCTCAATCTGATAAAAGTATCAATGACAAACCAACAGCCAGCATCATATTAGTCAAAAACTGAAAGCTTTCACTCTAAAATCAGGAACAAGACAAGGCTGTCCACTATCCCCACTCCTATTCAATATAGTGCTGGAAATATTAGTCAGAGCAATTAGGCAAGAGAGAAATAAATGGATTAAGGAGAGAAGTTAAGGAAGAAGTTATTATTTGCAGATAACATGATACTCTATATGAAAGACCCCCAAAACTCCACTGAAAGACTTCTAGATATAACAACCAGATTCAGTAATGGAGCTGGATACAGTCAACACTCAAAAATCAATAGCATTCCTGTACACAAACAACAAACTCACTGAGAGAGAAATAAGAGAAGCCACACCCTTCACAATAGCATCCAAAACACGAAATACTTAGGAATCAATCTAACAAAGGAAGTAAAAGATCTACAGTGAAAATTATATTACTCCAAGAAAAGAAATCAAAGAGGATCTCTGAAAATGGAAAGACATTCCTTGTTCATAGATAGGAAGAACAAACAATGGGGAAAATACCCATTCTCCCAGAATTGTTATATAGATTTAATGCAACTCCAATCAAAATACCATTAGCACACCTCACGGACATAGAGAAATCATTCCTAACATTTATCAGGAACCAGAAGAGACCTAGAATAGCAAAGGCAATTCTGGACAACAAAGGCAAGGCAAGAAGCATCACACTCCTTGACTTGAAGTTATACAACAAAGCTTCTGTGATAAAATCAGCATGGTACTGGAATAAAAACAGACCTGAAGATCAGTGGAATAGATTAGAAGATATAACCACAACTACAACCATACTCAGCCACCTTTTCTTTAATAATAGGGCAAAACATGTTCATTGGGAGAAACACAGACTCTTTAATAAGTGGTGCTGGAAAAACTGGCCTTTTTTACGCTGAAAACTAAAACTAGACCCATACCTATCACCATGCACTAAACTAAGACAAAAATGGATCAGACATCTAAATATTAAAACAGAAACACTAAATCTTCTGGAAGACAAAGTAGGTAAAAATCTCGAAGACACAGGGGTAAACAGAGAATTCATGAACAAAAATCTAACTGCACGGGAAATACTTCACAAAATCAACAACTATGATTTTGTCTTATTAAAAAGATTTTCCATGTCAAAAGTAATATTTTAAAAAATTTTAAAAAATCAGATCCCCCAAATTCAAAGACCCAATCCAAAAATGGGCATCTGAGATGGATACACAGTTCTCAGATAAAGAAATACAAATGGCAAATAAATACATGAAAAAGTGTTTAGCATCACTGGTCATTAGAGAAATGCTATTAAAGTCACACTGAGATTCCATAAAGCATGGCCAGGATCAAGAAAACAATCAACAACAAATACTGGAGAGGTTATGGGAGAAAAGGAACTCTTCTGCACTGTTGGTCGGAGTGTAGACTGATATAGCCATTGTGAAAATCAGTGTGAAGTTTCCTCAAAAAGCTGGGATTGGAGATCCCATTTGACCCAGCTATCCCACTTCTGGATATATTCCCAGAAGAATTGAAAACATCATACCAAAGTGATATATGTGCACCCATGTTTATAGCAGCACCATTTGTAATAGGGAAATCTTGGAAGAAACAACCCAAATGCCCATCAACTGAGGAATGGATAAAAAAGATGTGGTGTTTTTGGTGGGATCTTTTTTGTTTTTATTTTTATTTTTATTGGTACTGGGGATTGAACTCACAACTGCCTGCTTGCAAGGCAGGCCCTTATGCCGCTGAGCTAAATCCCCAGCCCCAAGATGTGGTATTTTTATACAATGGAGTGCTACTCAGCTGTAAAGAAGGATCACACTGAAGCTTTTATAGGTAAATGGATGTGACTTGAGACCATACTCCTAAATGAAATAAATCAAACTCACATGTATCAATGCCATACTGTCTTCCTAGTGTAAGAAACTGAAAGAATAAATAAGAACCCAAATCTTCATTAAATATTGTGAAAGGGTAAGAAACTGCTCTAAGGGGAAAAAAATAGGGAAAAGCAGAAAAGAAGGACGGGAAAAGAAAAAAGATGGATTTTAAAAAAATATACACTTAAGATAGCTAAGATGATTGTACTATTAATTCTATTAGTTCTTGGAACAAAACAGTTAACACTCATAGGATTAGATCAATTTTGCTTATCCATACCTGGTAATCTGAGTAACTCTTTTGAAGATAACTAAGTAAAATATCAATCTTTGTTAAGTTCCTACAACCTTATTTTGAAAGCCTATATTGCCACTGTTTTGGGTTTTGTTATTATTGTTTCTTTCTTGCATTTGTTTTTCCCTCTTTAAAATAAAAAATATCATTTAGTCAGAAGAGACAGTGGAGGAAAGAATGCACAAATATGAGATAGCATGCTTGGTTTATGGTAATTAAATAGCACACATTCTTGAGGGGTTGGGGAGGAGCTGGAGGGAGGATTTATCATGAGGCAGGACAGAGTGCCTACAGGTCAGCCCTCAAAATTGACATGTTTAACCTAAGGAGAAGGGATTTCTGTGGAATTCTTATGGATAGTTAGAAACTGTGTGTCAGAAATATAGAGTGAGCAAGTTGGTATTGTATGTATGTGGATTAATAAAGTGAATTTATTGTACTCTAAAATTTCTAAATACATGGGACAGCTGTTTCAGACAACAATGATTTTAAAGTAGTTGATTTCTTTAGGTATGTTCTTTTAAGGAATATATACTGTACAAAGAATATTTATGGTGCAACTATCGAAACACCATATAATGAACATAGTTACACATCTTTTTAAAGTAAATGGTAAAATCATTATTTTTAATTTTCAAGAAATACTTAAAATGGAAAAATCAGCTGAGTTTCTTTTTAAGTGTCATAATTACTCACTTGTATGTTATTAGAAACTTTTAGAAAAAAATCACAGGGCTTGACCAATAGGCAGAGGACCAAAGGATTAGGATTTGGGAAGATTTGACTTAATTTAAGTTAATGCTTTTTTTTCTATTTAATACAGGCCATAGCCTTGAAATAATAAATTTTTATTATCACATTAATATACTTTTAATAAAATAATTTATTTTAGGAGCTTTAAAACACTTTAGGTGCTTTCATAAATGCAGCACTCTAGAGGAAACTGAAGACTAAGAAACTGTCTTCAAATACTTACAGATTCTTTTCGGCCCATAGTTTTGCTGTGTGAGCGAGAACGTGAAATGTTGCTAAAAAAAGAATCTTTTTTAGTAGCAGATGAAGGTGGAGAGCCTGTAAATTCTCTTCCCCCAGGCAAACTTTCAATGCTTGGAGATGAGCTGATGTTTTTAGAACTCTGTCCTATAAGAAAAATTAAGTAGCAGTTAAAACAGAGGCTTTCACTAAACTATTGAATCTACTATTTTAACCACAGTTGAAGCATGTACTAAAAAAACCAGAAGGTAAACAAAAATATTAGAAAAAATGAATGATGATCAATTATGGTATGCTTTTATACACACTATTAACATAATCATCCTGCTGTGTAAAACTGTAACAAAACTCACTGTTTTGTATCTTGTAATGAGGTATCTTTCTTTTATGACTTCTGTTTTTAGTGTCCTGTGTAGGAAGGCATTTTTATCCTAGGATGAATACTGGAATATAATTTAGGTATTTAATATAAACCTAAATTTTTCATTTTCTCCTTTCATGAATGTTTTCACTGCTCTTTGTGTGAGTCAGTGGCTTCAATTGCCTTTGGAGGTGATTAAAGATTAAAACAAGACTTTGAAATTAGTTTTAAAAGCCCACAGAATAAAAGATAAATCTAAGAAGGAATAGTACTTTGATTCACAAGAACACAAAATTCTCACAATATAAAATGAAAACAAGATTCCATGTTTTAAAAACTTTATATAATTGAATTTATCTGTCCCTTTATGATTGGGATTATCTATTTATAAAACCTGGTAGTAGTGACTTTTAAAAGACATTACTGTGATGACATTTTGGATTTTTTTTTTTTTTTGTCTACTAAGCTTCTACTATTCCCTAGATTGATTTTGATTGGATTATTTTTTTCCTTTAGAAAAAGGGAAAAAAAGTTATATGCCTGACAGAATAATGCTGATGTCTTAGTTCCCAGAGCCTATGAAAATAATACCATACATGGCTAAAGAGATTTTGCAGGTCTCATTAAGGTTAAAGATGTGGCTAAGGTTAAAGAGAATATCTAGGTAATCATCATTGGCCAGTCTCATCACTTAGCCCTCGTGGTGGAAGAGGAAGGCAGAATGGTGACGCAGAAAAGTGACTGATGCAAGAAAGGGAGACAGCTGAAGCATGAGAAGGACTTGATCTGGTGATGCTTGCTTTGTGAATGGAAAAAAGGGTCATGAGCCAACAAATCTTCTAGAAGTTGAAAAGTATCCTCAGTTAATAGCCAATAAGGAAACGGGGACCTTGATCCTACACATACAGGGAACAGAATTCTGCCAAGGTTGCAAAAAAAGCCATGAAATCTTCTCAAGAGCCTCTGAACACCTGGGCATTAGCCAGGTGAGACCCATATGTGAATTCTGACTTGTGTAACTTTTAAACAGTAGATTTGTATTGTTAAACCACAAAATTTTTTTGTAATTTTTGACAGCAACAGAAAATTGTCTAGATTTCCAACTTACAAAAGTTGTATACTGTAGTCTCTTACAATTTTTGAAAAATCATCCTTCTTCTGTATCTTTAGTTGTATTATAATTCTTATTTTATACATTTTAGCACTTTGATCAGACTTACTGAATGAGATCACTGTTTTAAAGAAGTGTATTTTATTTTACTGACAAAATCTGTGTTAATTTGTTGTTAATCTTTTATGCATCCCTCTCCTTTCTTAGGTACATTTTGATGTTTTTTTTCTAGCTTTTTGAATTGTATACTTTAGACAATTTATGGTCTTTCTTATTTTCTAGTAATTGTACTTCCTCTGAATATAATTTTATCTCAGTTTTTCAGGGTGTTGGTATCTGGAAATTTTTAAAGACAGAATTATTTTAAAAATGATTTCATACTTATTAAGTGGTAGAATATATACATAAAATATTTTCAAAGTGAGAGGAAAGTTAGGTCTGAGGTAGACCTGAATTCTTGCATGTCTCCAGATTTGAACGTTAATTTGCTTGAGAGTAAGATTATAGTTCAAAATAACTTTTTCATAGAAATTGGAAAATACACACCAATGTATACAGGCTCTCAGTTTTGCCAACAAGAAAGTTAATGATGATTTTTTTTTTTTTTTTTTTTTTTTTTTTTTGTATTGGAGATTGAGCTCACGACCTCCTGCTTGCCAGGCCACTGAGCTAAATCTCTTTTTTGTAGATGGTGTCTTGTTCTGCAATTCAGACTGGCCTTGAACTCACTCTGTAGTCCAGGTAGCCTTCAAACTGCCAGGAAACCTCCTGAATGCTAGGATTACAGGGATATGCCACCATGCCTGGCTAATGATGATTATCTTATAAACAAACATTTGTTTTTGGTCCTTTTAGGGAAAGGAGTTTCCTCCTTATCTGTAAAGTTTTGAAAGCTTTATGTGACATTCTTAGGGATGGGACTTTTTTACATTCAGCGGGCTTGTCATGTATTTTTCAATCTGGCCAATGATTTTCTTTAGCTCTGGGAAATTTTATTACTCCTTTGATTGTAGACTCTCAATATTTATCTTTATTTCAAATTCTGAATTAATCTAGAATTGAAGATAGAATCATTGAAATTTCATTACGTCCTTAGAAAAATTTCAAATTTGGGGAACTAATGTAACTATTTGAATTTTCTCCTAAATTTTAAAAAAAGTTGCCAGTGGTAATATCTATTAAATCTTATAAAATTTTAATTGCCTGGATTATTTTCTGAAATAAGACAAGGGGCATGTAGTACATATTCATGTATATCTACCACATTTGTATGAAATGTGTAACATGTAAATAAACTTTCATTACAATCTGTTAGGAAAATTTTCCAGTTAAAGAAATTTTGGCATTATCAAAGAAAAATTTCAAAAGCTATCCTTGTTCGTATATAATGTTTACATGATAAAAATACAATAAAATCAGGGGCCTTCTTATTTTAATTCTAGATTTCAGTGCAGTAGCTGGATACTATTCAATTTTTCACCAATCTTTAAATATACACATTTTTCTAGTTGGTCTAACTAAAGAGGAAATCAGAAAATTAGAATATATACAATATACATGCATTAGGTATATTTTCAGGCTTTTTCACATATTATTTCATCTAATTCTAATGACTTTGTGAGGTAGTTACCGGTGAGAAAATTGAGAGTGAGAGAATTTAATTCATTTGTCCAGTGACATAGAGTTACATATACATATAGTGGTATCAAAACCCTGATTCCTTCAAATGCAAAGGCTATGCGTATACATACAATCACATTTCCAAATCCTGGAGGGTGACTAAAAAAACAAACAACAACAACAACATAAAAAGACCTTCTAATTCATAGTGTGCTGGGGGGGCGGCAGAAGAACTGGCCATTCTACTCAATTTTTAGGATTTTTTTAGCAATAGAAAACAGGCATCCCTCTTGTAATCAGTTACAAAGGTTCCTCTTACTAAGGGCAGGGACTGTGATGGATACTAGTCTCACTTGTTGGGAAAAGATGGCCTGTGGTAGCATGTTGTGGGATACAACAAAGGTCTGCTTAAGTCCATTCTGGAATGTCTGAAGAAGGTGTGAGTGCTGCTCAATGACATATCATGTGAGCCACCTTTGGTTTTATATTGGCTAGCATTCATATTTAAGAAGTAAAGGAAGATGACATAATTTTAATACTTTATTTAATCCCATATATCTAAACTATTATTACCCCAATGTGCAGTAAAAATGCTTTTGACACAATTTACTTTCATTGTGTCACACTAAGTCTTCAAATTCAGTGTGTATTTTGTACTTGTGGTAAATATTTCAAGTGCCCAGTAGCCACGTGTAGTTAGGCAATAACATAATGAACAGTGTAAGCATAAACAAACAGTCTATATTTCCAAACACGTTTCTCGACATGAAGGTTATTCTATTTTTGTAATTATTATAACAAAATAATTATTTACTGAGAGAATATATACATAATCGACAAGAATTTGAAAGCAGTTTCCTAGAGAAGCAACAACTTCCTCAGGTTTCTTTTGCAACTATGATTGTGGTTTACTTCTGTTTTAGTAACAATGCAAGGTCAGTTCTTAATCAGAATTTATCTCTGAATTATCAACTTTCAAATTAGTGGTAGAATTAGTAAAGATCTTAACCTACATTTCACATAAAAATTCTAAAAAATATTTGGTTTCACTACAAAATTTTTTGTATTCTTTGGGAACAAGAGAGTAGACCTAGTAATTGGAACACGTTCCCAAAAGGGAAGATGGAGTACTTCCTTTGGAGACCTTTTAAAAAGCCCAAATGTCAGTACTTTTGGCTCGAGACAGAAGAATGTACTACCAGACTTCCCTGCCTGTTTTATGTCTAGCATACACAGCACATTTGTGTGGCACACAGGGGTAAATGGATGAGGCTTCCTTCATGCTTCACCTGACGGCTCTGAAGCTGAGGGGTAGTATGTGTGTGTGCATATGTGCACATTTCTTTGCAGTATTGTGCCCTGAACCTACATCCCTAGTGCAACACTGCTTCTTTCATTCTCTAGGTTCTAATCTTGAAAGTACTCACCAATAAACTTTCCAACTCACAGACTTCACACTTTGGTTCTCAGGATTTCTGACCCAAGACAAATCTTTAAAATTATATTATACTGTAAAGTGTTCTGGAATATACTAATTATAAGTCATTCTTAAACCACCTCAGTTGTGGATGTATTTTTCATGCTTTTAAAAATTAATCTGATTGGTATTCTTTTGATACACATAGTGATCAAATTCATCACAGAGAATCTGTACCTGTATATAATGTATCTTGATTCTTCTTTTTTCTCCCATGCCTGTAGTCTTTCATTTATAACCAATCATCAGGGAACAAGCCTCATGTGCAGGCTTTATGAGATGCCTATAGGAAACTCTGTCAAGCACTGAGTTGGGCACAAGACCACTTAACATGCTCCTAAGAAGTTCTCAAATTAATTTATACGGGGAATACAAACTTGTACATATACTATCTTACAATCCAAGATGATAATAAACAAAAAGGTACAGACAACATGTTTTAGGAGCACAAAATGGTAGTGTCTTTAGGATTGCAAAAAAGGAGTGTCCAACCTTGTCACAGATAATTGGAAATATAAGTAAAATCTTAAAACCTAAGGAGAGTGCGGTGGCATGGTGACTCAAGAATGGTCACTTCT